CCTAGAGGGGCCAAAAGTTTTTTCCAGATATCTCAAAAAGTATTGAGAATTTGTTATGCATCAAAAAAGCAAAGTTGTTCAAAATATCAAGCTTTATCTAATGGGGTCGTCAAAATACGTCCGCCGACGTCACTTCCGGTCGAACCGGAAGTAGTCAGAAAATGCATATTTTTGCCGTTTTTGACAGGTTTTGGGGTAACATGTCTCACTAGAAGCTTAAATATTAATTTTCCGTCCGTCGTCGTCACTTCCGGTCAAACCGGAAGTACCAAAGAATGGCTTAAGTTTGCTATACTTAACATAGATTTGGAGGATTAACCCATTTTTGGACTTCATTACTCTTTTTTTTTAAATGAAAGTTACTTGCGGTCAAACAGGACGGAAGACCTACTCGTTGCTTTGCAACGAGCTCGGCTCTAGTTTTATTCATTATTGCATTTGACAATTAATCTTGTTTTTTGCTCTTCATTGTGTTTTCTACTGTTTGTTTAACGCCTTTTGGAGAATTTTCACTAATATTGAGATATAACCAGCTGCCGATGGAGGGCTGCCAATATTAGACCTGTTCTGGGCACTCAGATCAATTGATCAGGTAACACGGAGTAAGCTTCTCGTGTTGCTAAGCCACTATCTATATCTGATCTACATTACTTCATAAAATCGCTGTAGCCCAGTATACGTCTGAAAGTTATAGGGCTTGGTAGAGTATTTGCTGAACCTAGCAATGTACATCTATCTTATTTGTAGAGATTTTATGACGTATAATAAACCAGTACAGGTCATGTAAATCAAACTTCGTTTAACTGGTATATATTAAAAGTATTTTCCTCTTCTCATGTTGAAGGTTAAACGATTTCTTTGGCAGATTGCAAGGTAGCAAGCAAACACCAAGAAAATGATAGTGCTCTTAAATATGTTATAATTATCATGATATGTAATAAATAAGGATGCAACTCACAATTGACTTTTCTGCTTATGTTACCTTGTCTCGGGCATACGACATATACTATAAAATCACATATTTTTGAGGGGTCAAATTTTCGTGGATTGAAGAAAATATATTTGTCCATGGGCTAAAATTTCGTGGCTGATGCATTGTTTAGTAGAAATAATGCGAAAAATTGCATTTCGTGGTAGACATAAATTTGTGGGTCTCTTTATACATTGAAAATCACGGAAATTAACAACCACCCACCCCTTCCTCCGAAAATTAGGGATATTACAGTATACATCACAGATTTAATAAACGGAAAAATTGAGCCGTTTTGTAAACATAAAAGTATTCCATTTGACCATGATTGACTCCTATGACGTCAGAGCAATGGCGGTGATTATAAAAATGATTTTAAATGGATAATTTTAGAAGCATGTAAACTTTGTTATATAAAAATGAGAGATGATAAAAATCCTTAAGTATTTAATTATTATTGATATAACCGGTGTTTTGAATGAATATGCTAATTTTGCCATTTGTGATACAAGTAGTAACAGGAATATGAAACTTTTCTCGTGTGTAAAAGTTATTTCTTTATAAAAAAAAAAATCACAGTATTTAATCACAGTAAATATGTCCCTTTTCAACACTGTGACATTTTAAATATATATGAAAGCTAAAATAGCAAGTTTATTGGGTATATTATATTATACATGTATTTATGTCTTATCAATCACCGAGATTCAATTGACAATAATTATACTCCCTCGTGTTTTCAGAAAATGAGATTTACGAGGGTTGTTCGAAAAGTTCGTGGACGATGTCCATCTTCGTTATATTACACACTGGAAATTCAAAACAAGCACATTATGATATGTAAAAATATTTGTTTTGTTGATTTGTGAAGTTTCATTCCATTCGATTTAACACAAATAAATTTACTTCATTTTGAAATCAACATGTTTTGTACCCGTGGAGCACACAAAACGGCAATGTAACGTCAACACATAGCGTCGGGAATTTATAATAGATACTATACCTATACATTTCACACAGAATATTCCAATGCCCATTCATTAAATTATTTTTCTAATACTTGACATTTATTTTGAAAGAATTGATCTCATTGTATAATTTTCTTTGTTAGGGTTTTATTTCTTTTATAGTACTTAACTCTGCTTTCTCAGGATAAGCAACTCTGAAGCACCTTTGTCTTTCATTTACGTTTCAAATTTTAAAGTTTTGTTCAGATGTTTACAGTAAAACCGTTTCTTCACAGGTCATCCTCGTGCGATACAGAGTCCCTGTCACTCAAATATTGCCTGTACTAATTGTACACACATGAACAACTCGCTTGTGACATATTTTCTTGATTCCTTCAACATTTTTAGAGTTTATTCAGAATTTTTCCTGAGAAAAACACAAAATTGCTTCGGTACCTGCTGCTCCGTGACGTTCTAAAATGTCATCATTTTTGTCGTTTTCAATGAGGACAACTTATCTTCTCAAGTTGATTTCTTTTCAACAAAGCAAAATATAAAAGCATAATTTGGTACACGTATCGATGTAACAATTCTGAATTTGAATTTTTAGGTAGTTTTTCGTTTTTCCTCCTTTTTACAGAGAATATGACTATAGACATTATTTATTGTATTGTCTGTAACTGACTAAATTTTGACCTGCTCCGCGATCCGATTTTTGCATTTTTAAAATCAAGGAGTTGAATTTCAGATGAGAACGTCTAAATCGAGGTCCTGTGTCGCAGTATGTGCTGGCACAAAAAAAAGATACATCACTGATCAATGGCCGTAAAGTGCCGAGCATAGGGCAAAATTTGCAGCTCTACATTGGCAAGTGGTGATGCCTAGTCGTATGAGTAAAAATTCTCGAGAGGGATGTTAAACAACGTACAAACAATACCATCAACTCGTAGCAGTACTTTCAGTACTTTGATTAGACGGAGGCTTTATGCCTCCGCTCTATTGGTATCGCTCATCTGCGGCGGAAGGGAATTTGCGATCGCCATCTAGCGGCAAATCACATTAACTTTGATTAGCCTGCTCCCCCGACTCATCCTTTCCAATGCAGGAGTACATGAAGCAAAGCAGTGACGAACCAGGCTAAACTTTGATAAACTGGCTTGCCTGTCTGATATCGGATATGCGCTGTATACAGACAGGTGATCAGTAATGTTTAGAGTCCGCTGTTGACACGCTCATTGGCTGATAAAAACTCTCGCTGACAAACAATTTAAATTGTCGGGGAAACCAAAACAGATCACCGAGTGCAGTTTTCTGCATCTGCTTCTGATGCAATCTAATTCAGTTTTCCACATACAATACAGTATTCTTTTTTCTCATGGACCTATAATTATCTCACACCTTTCACCTCGCCTGAGGGTTTTCTTTTATTAGTTTGCGAGGGTCCTATCACATTAATACCCTACATTATCTAGATAGAAGAACTCTGCATCATTGTTTAATTGAAACTGACAGACTCAGCAGAGAGCTGCGGCTTGTCTGTTTATAGCACACAGAATTTAATTCTGTTGCATCTATTTTTAGAATTCCTTATCACATGCTTGCAAACTATATAGATGGGACAAATTCTATGTTTACATGACCAACTTAGTGGTGTAAATTTAGTAATATTATGGCTAACCTGTGCAAAAAAGGAAGCAATAAAACACGGGTACCCATAAAACACTGTTGTCATGGAATCTGCAAAAGTGACTCAAAGTATGCCCACAAAAATATATGCATTATTAGATTTCCCAAACCTTGGAGAGATATTGAAAAAGTGTCAAGGATGGGTGAATGCTTGTAAACGTTCATTGGCGGATCCAAGGGGGGGGGGCTGGGGGGTCCGGGGGTTGGAAGTCCTCTTTATTTTTTGTCAAACAGGCGTTTGTTCTGCTTAATATTTTTCATAATGTTGAAAATAAATGAATATCCTCTTCATGTTCATATCCAACACAACAGAAGTGTTAATTGTCCTTTTGATGAAAAATAGGAATTCGGTTAATTACATAATTAAACATCAGGCTACGATAACATAAATGAAGAAGTGTTTGTGAAACACTGTTGTCCCCCGTGTGGTAATACAGCGAAGATTAAACTTTTCTTAAATGCAAATTTAATAATATTATATTGATACCAAAAGTAGGGTATTCTTACTGGAAATACAATTGTGAAATGCGCAAGTAGGTCACGGCTAAAGTTATTCCATTAGTACGGAAATCTCCAAGGTAGAGGTCAAAAGGGCAAGATTGTTGGTATGCAATGAAAGGTCTTTTTACAAAGAATACATATGTGAAGTATGAAGCCCTAACCCTTCAAAAATTATGACAACGGATAATTTTTTTAAGTAGGCCAAACTCCAAGGTCAAATGTCTTGCTATAAAATGAAAGGTCTTGTCATAAGGATTAAATATATAAAGTATGAAAGCACTAACCCTAAAGCTTTAAAAGTTATGCTCAAGATTTGCTTTATTAAAGTAGGTCAAACTCCAAGGTCACAGGGTAAAAGTTCTTGGTATCCAATGTAGGGTCGTCTTACAAGGATTACATATGTGAAGTATGAAAGCACTATATATCCATTACCATTCAAAAGTTATGGCCAAGGTTAAAGTTTTTTCATAAGAATGGAATCTCAAAGGATAAGGTCAAAAGGTCAAGGTTGTTAATATCCAATTAAAGGTCTTTCTACCAAGAATACATATATGAAGTATAAATGCCCTGGTATCTACTGTTCAAAAGATGTTTCCAACTACCCTTAGGCAAATGTTGGGGTCAGAATATGAATAAAAAAATCACAAAGAGACAAACAATCATGTTCATTTCAAGCCTCCGTCTATCAGTACTTTCAGTACTTTGATTTTTTTTCAAACTTACATCACCTAAATGAGTCAAACTGCAGAAAGGTGATACTATACGTCATTATTGACGTCATTAAATTTCTTTTTCTACTTCCTGGAATTCACGCAAACTACTAGGCCTAGTTTTGTTTTCGTTTTTCAAATAGTGAAAGTCAATCGTAACTACTCGACCATTTCCGTGAACGATAAATATCTCTTTCGGAAAATGGCCGAGTAGTTACGAATGCAGTGAAAGTTTAAGAAATGGATTTCATTGGCCAGTTCTAAGTTACGTAATCTTGTTTCCAGCAAAACTTAAAATCGCGCTCTCCTAAGTCAGTCAAATAAGCCCACTTCAAAAGATTCACATTTTGGATGAGAGGTAGTAAGTATGGAAGAGAAGCGACGTCCAAATCATTTTCTGGCAATTCAAGTAACCGACAAAAAGGTTCGTTACTGGCGTGATTAATTTAGATAATTAAAAAATGACAATCAATCTGTTCTTGAAAAGTTGCAAATCAGATCAAGTATTCGTATATAATATTCTTATTTGTGAATAAATGTACGTTTATATCCTGAATATTTACTTCTGTGAGAAGATGACATTTATTATATTCTCTGTCAGGATGAAGCTGATGGGTTTCATTAACTTGAAACTAGGTAAATTATTGAAAAAGAATGTGATGAACAAGAATATCAGCAGTCTCGTTTAAATTTACCATTTTGTAAGTCGTTTAGTCGATACAATGGCCTTGTCAGCAAATGCGATTTATCAACGAGTCGAATGCTGACTGACGTTTTTCATACTAATTTATTGTGAGTCTATTATTTACACTGAATTGACGACGGAATTTTCGTTATTTCCCGATCATGACAAGGAGCACACGGCGTATGTTACCGGTCGGCAGAGGATGCCCATCCCTCCATGGCACCTGATCCCACCTCTGATCTTTTGTAGTCCGTGTTTGCTTTGCTCCTATATCTTATATTTTTATGGACTTTTGAGCTTGAAAACGGTTTGTTATCTTAATATAATTTCTTGATAATGAGCCTGCTTAAAACAGCATTTGAAACAAAATTAATATTGACACTTATCCGGAAAATGTAGATCAATTCAAACATCCGAAGTAAGCCTGAAAGTGTGCATCTTCAGACGTATCATCGATGCCAGATTGATGAATGTAGGGTTTATAGCTACGTGGACAAGCGAACTCCACCAAAAATTTGAACTCTTCCCATTAACCTGGTCATTCCTTACTGTAATTGAAGCATCGTTCATGTATCGCAAATTAATATAGAACATATGGTACCTGAAAAGAAAAATGCTCCAAAACATTTTGGATGTCGATGCTGAGAGTATTTCATGCCCCTGTCCTTCGTTGAAACGAGATTAAAATCTCTGCATACACGTTTGGAATAGAAAACAAATTCCATTCACATTTCATTCCTCTACGAAAATGTTGATATTTTAAATAAATGTTATTTTAAAGAATGACATTAGATAACTAATGTTTTTTTTTTTGTTTCATTCTTTTATTTTTAGATAAAACAGAACGTTCGAGAGTTACAGAACGTCATTTTAGAGAAAGAGAAGCACCTGTCCCACGCGATGGTCAAGACGGAGAGGCTACATCTTACCCTGGGGGTGTACCATCTAGAGGATCAGGAAAGGGTCGCGCAGTAAGACATTTACCCCTGGAATTATTTATATTCCAGAAAATTTTCGCAGGCCAAAGAATATAAATGTCTATAATATCTCTCAATTTGAAACAAAAAATCTTTGCAGGGCAGCAGAAGCGTTGGACAGATTTCACAGTAAACTGAATATATCGGATTTTACGCCACCAAGTTTGAATGTTTCTATGGTGGGGCACTTTAATCACCAAGTTTTGTTCGCATCAGTGACAGAGGATGAGGGATTAGATGTTTTCAACAACCTCGTTAGTGAGTAGTAAAAGATTTCAACAACACATTAGTGAGTATAAACATAAACAGATCTCAACATTATCATTACTGAGTACAGAATAAATCTTCTCAACATTATCGATATCATACAAAAGATGAAATATAGGAGATAACGAACAACATTATTCAAGTTCAAAAGTCCGTTATAAACAATAAAAAGTTTGAGCAAAGCAAACATGATCCTCCAAAACATCAGAGATGGGATCGGGTGCCAAGGAGGAGTGAGCATCCCCTGGCGACAGATTACATCCACTGTTTGCTCCTTGTCATGATTGGGAACTAACGGAATAATCTTAGTGATTCAGTTTGTAGATAATGCTGTAACAATAAGTATGAAAAACACTAGTTAGCATTTGATTCGATGATAAATTGTATTTACTGACAAGTGCATTTTATCAGCTGTACAACTTACAAAATGATGATTTTAAACGAGACTGTTGACATTCTTGTTTCGCCATCTTAAATGTTTGTCAATATTTTACATCATTTTAAAAATTACATATGTAGAGCATGCACTTGCATATGAATTAACTGAGAGATACAAACCCCGCAGGTGATGAAGGTATATACCTGTATTAATGAGGGAAGTTGACCATTGCAAAGTTAAAAGTCTCACGTTTATCATCACATTTAGCTTAAAACTTGGTTGTGAGATTAACTTTTTTTTTCAAGTAAAATATTCAAATATGAAACAGATGTGTCGGACTCTGTGGTACCTTTTTTCTCAACCTCACCAGGATATATCGTATGGACATAAGAATGGAAATAACCATTGTGAATTGACAATACGTCGTCGATATATCTTAATGTCGAGCAAGTGTTTTTTTTTCTTTTCACACATAAAATTTTTAACAAATTCTGCTTCATATGAATACAAGATAAGGTCTGCTTATAAGGGGGCGCAATTTATAGCCATGGGAATCCCAATAGACTGGCAGTACTCCAAAATCCACATAGATATTGTCAATCAGAAACAACCCAAGGACACTTTTGATGTCAACTTCAGAATCCTTGTGTGTACAAAAAAATGACCAATGACAAGGTAAGTATATTTACGAGTTCGATTATCATTGAAAAAGCAGCTGTCAGTGATATCAAAAAGCCTGGACTTTTATTCTGTCTTACGGAGTTTTTATGGATAACGTTGAAAAGTCATAAGTCTTTTTAGTTTAAGATCTCAACATCTCAACATCATCGTTAGTGAGTCTCTGGACAAATAAGATCACTCACATCACAATCGCCAACTTACGTTATATTAATAATTTATTCTATCTGACCATTTGTACTTTTTCTCAATGTTTATCGATATTTTGACAAACGATTTAGTTTTTGGCTATTTTTGACCAGGTATAAGGAGAATTGAGCCAACGCATTATGAAGAGAAGAAGACTGAAACTGGAACTGTTTTGCTCTGATTTCGTCTTGTAGAAGATGATTTCGTGGGTAACTATATTAATAATTTATTCTATCTGTGAAAATTGTCAGGAATCCTCTCGTTTTAACAGGTATAATGTATTAAATAGATTTTTTTTACTTGTATTTTTGACCAGAAGATTATGTAAAGAAATCTCTGGAGACTCTGACGGGTTTGTAGCCACGGACTGAATTGCAGATACATTTTAAGTGTGGAATTGCTCCTATTTCACATCACAATCAGGGGTTGTAAAGATGAAATCAATGATACATATAACACATTTTTTTTATTCATGCAAATTATGAACACGATCTTCATCTGATTGTCATAAATTATAATGTCTCTAGTAATTAGTACCTGAGTGAGTAAGACAAAAGTCAATTAAAAATTATTTGTTAAATGAAATATGAAGATAACGAAAGTAGTCATGCTCAAAAGAATGTATGTTTTTCAAGATTACACAGGACATATATATATATAAAAATTATGTTTAAACGAATTCTATCACTTTGGCAGACTGAAGCCACGGATTGTGTCCACAAAACTTCGGAATATATTAATAATTTATTCTATCTGTGAAAATTGTCTCCTCTTTTTAACAGGTATAATGTATTAAATAGATTTTTTTTACCTACTTTAGAAGTGATTCTTTATTTTACAATGTTTATCGATATTTTGACAAACGATTTAGTTTTTGGCTATTTTTGACCAGGTATAAGGAGAATTGAGCCAACGCATTATGAAGAGAAGAAGACTACTTACTTCGGAAAACAGACGGCAGAGAGTATCCAGCTCTGTTCTATGACTAAACCAATGACAGAATCTGGTTACTACCACGTAGAACACGAAATCAGATTTCTGGTCTCTGACGACTCAGAAGATCAATGATATCCATATTGCTCTTTAAAGACTAATCCAGTGGAATTGCATCTAGCAGATTTGTTACTGGATTTTAAGTGTGGAATTGCTTCTAATAGGTGTGTTTGAGGGAAAAAAGCAGAAAAAAATATTTCAAGGAATGTTTAGATCTATGTCGACTAATCAGCGGGTTGTAACAAGGCATTGAAATAGGAATGTTATGTGTGACAATGATACTCTATATAACACATTTTTTTTATTCATGCAAATTATGAACACGATCGAGATTCATCTGATTGTCATAAATTATAATGTCTCTAGTAATTAGTACCTGAGTGAGTAAGACAAAAGTCAATTAAAAATTATTTGTTAAATGAAATATGAAGATAACGAAAGTAGTCATGCTCAAAAGAATGTATGTTTTTCAAGATTACACAGGACATTATATATATAATGACTAAAATGTATGTTTAAACGAATTCTAGATCACTTTGGCAGACTGACGGGTTTGTAGCCACGGATGACAGATACACTCCTCACATCACAATCGGAAAGATGTCCACAAAACTTCGAAAACTGGGTAACTATATTAATAATTTATTCTATCTGTGAAAATTGTCAGGAATCCTCTCGTTTTAACAGGTATAATGTATTAAATAGATTTTTTTTACCTACTTTAGAAGTGATTCTTTATTTTACAATGTTTATCGATATTTTGACAAACGATTTAGTTTTTGGCTATTTTTGACCAGGTATAAGGAGAATTGAGCCAACGCATTATGAAGAGAAGAAGACTACTTACTTCGGAAAACAGACGGCAGAGAGTATCCAGCTCTGTTCTATGACTAAACCAATGACAGAATCTGGTTACTACCACGTAGAACACGAAATCAGATTTCTGGTCTCTGACGACTCAGAAGATCAATGATATCCATATTGCTCTTTAAAGACTAATCCAGTGGAATTGCATCTAGCAGATTTGTTACTGGATTTTAAGTGTGGAATTGCTTCTAATAGGTGTGTTTGAGGGAAAAAAGCAGCAGAAAAAAATATTTCAAGGAATGTTTAGATCTATGTCGACTAATCAGCGGGTTGTAACAAGGCATTGAAATAGGAATGTTATGTGTGACAATGATACTCTATATAACACATTTTTTTTATTCATGCAAATTATGAACACGATCGAGATTCATCTGATTGTCATAAATTATAATGTCTCTAGTAATTAGTACCTGAGTGAGTAAGACAAAAGTCAATTAAAAATTATTTGTTAAATGAAATATGAAGATAACGAAAGTAGTCATGCTCAAAAGAATGTATGTTTTTCAAGATTACACAGGACATTATATATATAATGACTAAAATGTATGTTTAAACGAATTCTAGATCACTTTTATGTGTGATGTTTCAAAACATGGATATCGACATTGATAGATCAAAGCGGAAATGTTCAGCATGTCTAATGAACATATGTTTCAACGAATTCTAGGTAACATTCATGTGTAATTAAATAGTATGGGGCTTAGATATTGGCCTGGTACCTCAAAGCTTCTGGGTTTGATTTCCAGCCCGGTCATGATTTTTTACTTGTTTCAGTGATACGTGACGCTAAATATTTTCCATGTTACAAAGAATATAATCTGCTACCTGTTAGGTCGGTTGTTATATGCTTTGATACAAAAAATAATTTAAAGTGCCTGGTATTATATTCAAAATATCTTGATTAATTTTGATCATTAATGCATTTGACAATAAATCTTGGTTTTTGCTCTTCATTGTGTCTTTTTTAACGCCCTTTGGAGAATTTTCACACTCACACTGAGTACCCTTTGGAGGGCTGCCAATTTTAGACCTGTTCTCGGCAGTCAAATCAATTGATCAGGTAACATGGGGGAGTAAGCATCCCCTGTCGCTAAGCCGCTATGTATATCTGATCAACACCACTTCTAAAACACGTTGTAGCACAGTACGTCTGAAATATCTCCTTTAATTACAGCAGTTCATATTTTTGTAATGAGTGAATATTTGGGCTTGGTAGAGTATTTACTGGACCTAGCCATGTATGTGCATCTTTTTTGTAATGAAACATATGGAGATAACGAACAGTATTCAAGATCAAAAGTCCATAAAAGAATTAAAAAACAAGAGCAGCGCAAACACGGACCTCCAAATCATTAGAGGCAGGATCAGGTACCATGGAGGAGTGTGCATCCCCTGCTGACCGGTCACACCCGCCGTGTGCTCCTTGTCATGATCAGGAAATAACGGGAAAATCCGTCGTCAATTGGCAAAAGTCAGTCAGCATTTGACTCAATGATAAATTGTGTATGTTGACAATGTTATTGTATCGACCATAGAACTCACGAAATGATGACTTTAAACGACACTGCTGATATTCTTGTTTCATCAACTTGTTTGTTAATAATTTACTCAATTTAGAAACTGTTCATACGTAGAGCATGCTCTTGCGTATCGAATCAACTAAAATATGTAAACTCCCAATACAGGTGATGAAGGTATATTGCTTCATAAGTAAGGGAAGTTGACGATAGAAAAGTTAAAGTCATCACGTTTATCATTGAGCTTGGTTGTTAGATTACCATTAATGTCTTTTTCAAGTAAAATATCCAAGTATGAAACAGATGTGTCAAACTCTGTGGTATCGTTCATCAAGCTCAGGATATATATTTTTATGAAGTTTAGGAACCCAGTACAGAAGGGTAAATGGTATATTAACGTATTAAACACTAAATTTTGATTTTGAAGAATTTCTTTCCAGGAAATGGATTGTGAGTATATGCATGTAGGATTTCCAGACGAAGAAATGAACTAATTAAGTTATTTTATAATGCAATTGTATAATTTTTCATGTAGTTGCTTTAGCTCTTTGATCTTTGCCAGTTTAATTAAAACGGAATTGTAAATGATTGCTTTAAGGTCATAATTTTCAACAATATTAAAATCATCAGTAATGACGAGTCCTTCATAACTGTAGTTGAAAGAAGAAGAACACGTAATATAAGGATTTTGTTTTATATGTTCAATATTTAGACACAGATGGGATTGTTCATTGTTAAAAAGTTTGTGGCAGCAATGTGTTAATATAAAACATCATTTCTTTTTGTAAAATATTCAAATTAAAAACAATGTCAGACTCAGTGATATATTTTCCTCTTTAATGAAATATGTGGAGATAACAAACATTATTCAAGAAATGGATATTGCTTTGAAATAAGTTACACTGGGATAGGCAAAATATAATATGATGCAAATCACAACTGTCTTCTCTGTTTATGTTTCATTATATAATTTATCTTCTTTATACTATTCGTAGATTCAAGCTCCATCCTGTTAAAAATGTTTGAAAGGTTGGGAAGCTAATTTATGATTATGAAAGACACGTTTAAGATAATATATTTGCACTGGAGGTGGATACAGTCACTGTTGGTTTGTTTGCTTGCTGTATACAGGGTTAATTTCGCTCCGTTTTATTTTCACCCTCTTGCATTTGCGAACAATTTTGCCCCGTTTTAAATTCGCCCAATTACAGTTTTGTTTAAGAAATTATTATTTTTGAGTATTTTCTTTGAAGTCGACCCGTTTTAAATTCGCCCACGTGTAATGAGGGCGAAAGGGGCGAAAATAAAACTGGGGCGAAAATTTCCCTGTATACAGTATTTTTTGCACTAAATATAGGATCTCTCGGTGGTTAATCACAACATATACCTAGCTGTCAATATCAAATTATCATGTATTTAATTAGTTTCTAATAGGTTTGATAGACGAAACAGTTGAGCCATTTTAAATCACAAAGAAGTATTCCGTTCGATCGTGATTGACACCTTTGACATCGGAACTATGGTGCACAACATTTCAACCAATTTTGGCATAAAGCATCTATGGATGAAGGGGAACAAAAATTATGAATTTCATGGTCCCTACCCCCCCTGGGGCCTGAGGGGTGGGGCCAAAACCACTTAAATTAGTGCAATCTTTAAATAATCTTCTTCTTTACTCCTGGACATCAAGCAGTCAATCTGTTGGCATGATTGTAATGAGCATTGAGTCCTCTACCAAAATTGTGAAATTCATGACCCATGGGTCAGGGGTCTATAATATAAATTATATAGTGAAAATGCATTAATTCTTTGAAAATCTTCTTCTCTGCTTCTGGGTATATTAAATAAACCAACTAAGTACATAGTTATGATGAGCAAGAGTGCCTCTACCAAAATTGTGAATTTTATGGCCCCAGGGTCAGGGGTTCTGGTGTTAGGGTGGGGCTCTCTTGATTATATAGTGAAAATGCATTAAATATTTGAATTTATTTTTTCTGTTTCTGGATATTAAATAAATTAACGAAGTACATAGTTATGATGAGCAAGAATGCCTCTACCAAAATTATGATTTTTTTTTGTTAGGGTTAGGAGTTCTGGTGTAAGGGGGGGGGGGCTTTATTGATGTATTATATAGTGAAAATACATTAAATCTTTGTAACCAAAATAAGCAATTGCTAAGTGTAAAGTAATGATGAGCAATGGTGCCTCTTTTAAAATTGTGAATGCCATAGAATCTAGCTTAAAACGTGAACCAAATTCAATCATTTGAAAGTTGTTGCATTGATGCTCAGGTGACCTATAAGGCCCATGGGCCTCTTGTTTATTAATGGTATTATTTTAAATGGATATCTTAATTTTGTCATTTGTGATAGTAACTGGATTATGAAATTTACAATTGATTACTTTGATTACTTTTACAAATTTGTTTTTCTTTTACAAAACATTCTATTACATAAGTGTATCTTATCACAGTAAATTTTGTCCTTTTTCAACTCTGAGACATTTTAAATATATGGAAGCTGAAATAGCAAGTTTATTGGGTATAATATATTTATGTCTCATCGATCATCGAGATACAATTGACAATAAACTTCCTCCCGTTTTCGGAAAATGAGATTTACAAGTAAAGATATATTAGTGTAGACTCTACTAAATAGAATACCAGGTATATTTTTCAAAAGAAAAGATGAATTCCTATCGAATTTTAACTTTAAAACAGTTTTTTGAAAATGGTTTTTAAAGTGCTAAATGATGTAAGCTTTTAAAATATACCCCTGAATATAGACTGCAATCATTTTATTGAATACATGAACAATAAACAAGAAAGTGGTTCTTGATATTGGATATTGAAAACTTGTCGATCACTTTCTGAATCCACAAACTCAAATTTTTGCTTTTGTTTTATTTTTGTATAATTAAATGGTATTTCATTTGTGATTTTCAATTATATAATTTTCACAAAACTGGGAAGTTGGTTCCCATTTTCACAATTAGTCAGTTAAGTCTGTGTACTTTGTGACGGGGTTTGCGTAATCATTTGAAATTAAAATATAAAATAGGAAGAGGGCATATATTAAGTATTTACTTGCAAGCAATTAGTATCTTGAAGTAACCATCGGCGTAGCTCTCTCTCTCTCTCTCTCTCTCCTGAATCAAAGGGTAGTTTCTAAGAACAATTATGAGAATATTCAAAATATATAATACCAAATAGCAACTCTTATTTCCAAGAAAAGAAATATCTTTTTTCCCTTCTTAATGAAATGTATTGATTGTTACCAACATTTGCACTCCCCATTACATCGGGATTATGTATTATAAGTAAAACATGTATTTATGCTTCCTCTTTAAAAATGATGTTGCGCTAAAATATGAATCATGTGTAAGGATTTGTATGGGTTTTTTTTTAAAATATCGATGACTGATTGTTATTTTCACCTTCTTCATTATATAACGGTTACTTACAAGTCCTACATGAAATATATGGAAATAACAAACAGTATTCAAGCTCAAAAGTCCATTAAACAATACGTAATTGGAGCAGACAAAACGCGTACCTTCAAACATCAGAGATAGGATCATGTGCCATGAAGGAGTGAACATCTCCTTTCGACGGTGTGGTTCTTTTCATGATTGGGAAATAAGTTCAAATGACGGAAAAATCTGTCGACAATCCTGTGCGTATATAATGGCCTAGAAATGTGTATGAAAAACGGCAGTCAGCCTTTGATTTAATGATAAATTGTTATAAATTGCATTTGCCAAGGTCCCTGTATCAACCCTAGAACTAACGAAATGATGACTGCTGATATTCTTGTTTCAGGGACTTGCAATTGTTTGTCAATAATTTACCTCGTATTAGAAATTGTTTATACGTTAAGCGTGCTCTCACATATCGAACTAATTGAGAAATATAAACCCCGTATGCAGATTTTGAAAGTACTCAGTATATGTCTGCATAAGTTAAAGAAGGTGACATTGAAAATTCAGTCGTCAGGTATATCATGAAGCTCTCTCTCTCTCTCTCTCTCATAAGAAAAACCATTTATCATCACATAAAAATGATTTAAATAAACATGTATGATTTCCATCGTGCAAACCACTCATAATGGCCTGTTACTTGATCATTATAATCACGATTCTTAGTATATAAATCCTTATGTACCTATGATACTATCTAGTAAGTATCTACCGTTATCTTTAGTTCGAATGAGAGTTTCTTTCCTCCTGTTCGCAAAATCTTGTTGGAAAGGAAATTATTTGGGTAAGTTGAAGATAACATTCCAGCGAAGATCAGTAATCAAGCTTAAAACTATAGCATATGGCAATGATATGGTGTACATATTGATCGAATTTTCTTTGTAGTCATTTAATCATTTAGCGTTCAGCATGTTGTTACAAAATATATATTACAATAATCATGATTTAGATATTTTTTTTCCCCACAAATAGGCAAAATTTGACTAAATTTTAGTAAAGCAAAATTCAAAAGTATTAATATTTTGTAATTCATCAAATGCAAATTACCTTTTCAAGAGATATTTAAATATTAGCTACAGGGACTCAAGTATTTATTTAAGTTAGGACAAGGCTTTTTCATACGTTTCAAGTCCACAATACAGTCTCTATCTTCCACTATGGAACGCCATAACTGCCTTATGTTAGATGATTATATTATATGCTGTGCTTCTTATATTATATGCTGTGGTTCTTTTATTATATGCTGTGGTTCTTTTATCATATGCTGTGGGTTTATAATTATATGCTGTGGATCTATTATTATATGCTGTGGATCTATAATTATATGCTGTGGGTTTATAATTATATGCTGTGGGTTTATATATAATTATATGCTGTGGTTTTGTAATTATATGCTGTGGATCTATAATTGTATGCTGTGGTTTTATAATTATATGCTGTGGGTTTATAATTATATGCTCTGGGTCCATTATTATATGCTGTGGATCTATTATTATATGCTGTGGTTTCATTATTATATGTTGTGGGTTCATAATTATGTGGGTTCATAATTATATGCTGTGGTTTCATAATTATATGCTGTGGGTTCATAATTATATGCTGTGGGTGCATTGTTTCGTATTTTGTCGGTTTATAAGAAACTAGCTGTTCGAATCTGGACTTCTGGTTTTTTTAGTATACTTGTTCAAAAAATGGCGGCAACTGCACCAGGCCTAACCGTAATAGGAATGAGAGAGTGGAGTGCTGAACCAATCAGTGATTAGAAGAGGAATACGCATCAGATCCTAACATTTCTCCGCCGGAAATTGCCTTATCGCTCATTTCATATTTCGCTCTGCTTAACGTTCTTCGAAAATGTTTCCTAATTTGTACAATTCTTTATCGTGAACAGGTTTTGATTACAACCTCATGTTAGTAGGCTTCAAAAGCAAGAAAGATCTGTTGAGCGTGCCACAAAATAACTTCGATTTCAAATGTATGACATTTGAAAAAAAAAAATTAAATAAGATCACATGACTTAATCAGCAAGATGGTAGATCACCGTTGACGTCCGAGATTATGTGCGAGGTACGAGTCATCCGAGGAACTCCGAGTGGTGCTGAATAGGAAGGCATTACCTGATTGGTTTAATAAATGAGGTGCATTAATTTTTTTTTTTAAGTAAAAATATTAATGTTTGAAATAAATGAGTGAATGTATGAATATTACAAAAATATAGAAATACCAGGGGAGACTATAGGAGCGGAGGTTGATTTATTATTATTATTTGGGGGGGGGGGGGGCAGAGTGTTATTTACTGACGGTTACTATAAGTTAATTTTTAATTTTAAACAACTGCAGTTTTGACCTATAAACGCCATGGGACCCAATATTTTTTTTTTCGGGGGGGGGGGGGGGGGGGGGGTATAAACGCCTGGAATAAAGTTTCAAACGATTCCAAGGAATTGTTTGAAATTAAATTAGTATAGTAGTGAGAGGACAAAAGGTTTGTATAGAGTTCTGTGGGAAAATAATTGGTACTCTTTTCCTTATAGAGATCTTAATTTTTTAAATGTTAAGTGAATTTAAGGTCAAGAAAAATAATATTTTGCTCTTTATTTGACGACACGACGAGAGGAAATATACATGTATATATAAAAAAAGAAATAAGATTTGTTTTGGTGTGTTGAGAATTGAGAGGAGTTATGTCCTTTGTTAAAAAGGGGGGGGGGGGATAGTTAGAAGAATGTAGATATAAGCATAGGCGTCGGAACCGGGGGGGGGGGGGGCTAGGGGGGTTTAGCCCCCCAACTTTTTTCCAAACATATACTTAGTATAGACATTGAACATTGTTTTTTAGGTTTAGCCACCCCCCCCCCCAACTTTCCACAGATACGTCGCCGTATAGGTTAAAAATGGGGAAATTGGTGGTGTTTGGAAAAAATTAGGTACTGAAGAAGTTCGTCGAACCTAACCACTCCCCCCCCCCCCCCACACACTTGCTTGTCAGGTTTTTTTGATGGAATATTTTTTTATCACTTAGCCCCCCCCCCCCCCCTTTCAATTTGCTTCCGAACCAATGATTAGTATAGCGTGGTGCATTTGATAATGTCCGAGGAAGTAAATAAGTTAACAATGTGCATCAGATTGCTCTTAATATGATAAATATTTGTAGTGTATGGTATCGTTTGAAACTTTAATCCAAGCGCTTATAAAAAAAAACCAAAAATATAGAGTCCATGGCGTTTATAGGTCAAAATTGCAGTTGATAAAAATTAACTTATAGGTACCGGCAGTAAATAACACCCCCCCCCCAAAAAAAAAAAAATCAACCCCCGCTCTTACAATCTCCCTGGTATTATTATATTTCTGCAATATTCATACATTAACTCATTTATTTCAAACATTAATATTTTTATTTTTTAACAAATAAAAAAAAACATTACATACATGTTCCTCATTTAAACCAATCAGGTAATGCCTTCCTATTCAGCACTCCACTCTCTCATTCCTGTTACTGTTAGTCGCCATTTTTTGAGCAAGTAAACTAAAAAAACTAGAAGTCCAGATTTGAATAGATCTATAGTTTCTAATAAACCGACAGAATATGTAACAATACACCCACAGAATATAATTATGAACCCACAGCATATAATTATAGACACACAGCATATAATTATAAACCCACAGCATATAATTATAGACCCACAGCATATAATTATAAACCCACAGCATATAATTATAAAACCACAGCATATAATTATAAAACCACAGCATATAATTATAAACCCACAGCATATAATCATAAAACCATAGCATATAATAATGGACCCACCGCATATAATAATAGATCCACAGCATATAATAATAGACCCACAGCATATAATAATGGACCCACAGCATATAATAATAGAACCACAGCATATAATTATGGAACCACAGCATATAATATAGGAACCACAGCATATAATTATAGACCCACAGCATATAATAAAAGAACCACAGCATATAATTACAAACCCACAGCATATAATAATAGACCCACAGCATATAATTATAGAACCACAGCATATAATATAAGAACCACAGCATATAATTATAGACCCACAGCATATAATTATAAACCCACAGCATATAATTATAGACCCACAGCATATAATATAATCTTCTAACATAAGGCAGCCATGGCGTTCCATATTCCACTGGTCAATGAAGTGTCAGGTTTTGTCAAACTTACATCACCTATGAGTCAGACTAGTGATAGACCATTTTTGACAGTAAGAGATTTCATTTTCTCCTTCCTGGAATCCACACAAACTATTTTTGTTTTCGTTTTTCAAAACAGTGAAAGTTGTAAAAAGAATTTCATTGGCCAGTTCTCGATTACGTAATCTTGTTTCAAGCAAAACTTAAAATCGAGCTCTCCTCATGCATTAAATCAAGCCTATTTCAAAAGAATCACGTCAGTTTAGTATATTCCAAAAGATTCACATTCCGGATAAGAGGTAGTAAATATGGCAGGGAGTCAAAGTCCAAATTATTTTCTGGCAATTCAAGTATCCGACGAAAAGGTTTGTTACCTTCGTAAATAACTTGAATATTTTTTTTTAATCTGCTCTGATATGAAAAGTATAAATCAGAAAATGGACCTTATTCTTTTTTTAATAAAAGTACGTTTATTTCCTGAATAATTATCTCTGTAGGAAGATGAAATTACATTGTCTGATTGGGCTAAGTTGATGAGTTTGATTAATTATTAATTAATTAAAGTCCATAAAACAATACAAAATAGGAGAAGAGCAAACACAGAGCTCCAAAACAACAGAGGTGGGTTCATGTGCCATGGAGGAGTAACCATCCCCTGCCGACCGGTCACACCCGCCGTGTGGTCCTTGTCATGATCGGTAATTAACGGAAAAATTAATACAAATCTGTGAAGAGGACATGAACAAGAATCCCTGGATATTTTCGAGGTGGGATCAGGTACCTTTGAGGGATAAGCATTCCCTGTCGTCCACTCAAACTAGTGATGAGTTGACGAAACAAGGATAATAACAATCTCGTTTGAATTCCACAAATTACATGTTTAATTTAATAATCTTCAAAAGAAAAACAATTTATCATTTACTTAAATGCTGACTAAAGTTTTCCATACAAATTATTAGGCCATTATTTTTACACATATTTGCCTTTTGATTTTTCTTTGTACACAATGAAGACAAGGGGCACAAGGCGTGTGTAACCGGTCGAAAGGGATTCCAAATGCTTATTCCTCCATGACTTAAAGCTTGATTGCTTCCGGGTTTTTTTTTAACTTTCATTGTTCCCAAATGAACTCTGATCCAAAAACAGAAAATTGTTTTTTTTTAAGAATATCATGGTTTCGTTAGGAACTGTGAAGAAAACGAATAATGAATCTCAAACTAAATCTCAAAATATCTATAATTAATACAGATCTGTGGAGAGGGCAACGAATTACCCCTGAAAATTCAAAAGATGAGATCAAGTGATTAAAGGAGTAAGCATCCCCTGCTGACCGGGCTTACCTACTATAAGACCTAATGCACTTATCATGTTGATGGAACTTTCTGTGGTGAAATTCAGTATAAAAAAGGCCTAACAATGTGTACAAAAAGTCTACCAAAATACGACTAAGTGATTAGTTATATTGCTAACATGGTCATTAAAACGACAAATAAAATTTACGAAATGTGGACTTCGAAGGAGGTGATTGTTATTAGTTGTTAGCAAGTAATCTGAAGTTGACATCAAAAGGATGCTTGAGTTTCTGATTGACAATATCTATGTGGTTTGGAATTTCGATTCTTAGTCGATACGATTTATCCTGGTGAGCTTGAGAAAAAAAAAGATACCAGAAATTCTAACACATCTGTTTCGTATTAGGATATTTTACTTGAAAAAGACACTAATTGTAATCTAACAACCAAGCTATATGATAAACGTGATGACTTTACATGTACTTTTCAATTGTCAACTTCCTTTACTTATCCAGCAATATACCTTCGTCGCCCGCATACGCAGTTGATATCTCACAGTTGATTCGCTACGCAAGAGCATGCTCTAAGAATGTACAATTTTTAAAAGGAGGTAAATTATTGACAAACAAGTTGATGAAACAAGAATGTCATCAGTATCCTTTAAAGTCATCATTGCGTAAGTTCTATGATCGATACAATTACCTTGTCAGCAAATGCAATTTATTTTGAGTCAAATAATAACTTTTCGTATCAATTGTTAGGTCATTATTTACACACTGAAATGACGACGGATTTTTCCGTTATTTCCCGATCACGACAAGGAGCACACGGCGGGTGTGACCGGTCGGCAGGGGATGCTCACTCCTCCATGGCACCTGATCCTACCTCTGATGTTTTGGAGGTCCGTGTTTGCTCCACTCCTATTTTGTACTGTTTTATAGACTTTGAGATTGAATAATGTTCGTTATCTCCATATTGTCCCTGTTAGTAGCTAGTTCGTTTTAGTAAAAAAAATTATCATACTCAGGGCATGTTTTAAGTATCGAAATAAAAGTGGAAATGTAAACACCATGTGCAGGTGATAGCGGGTTATTTCCTTAATAATTTAGGAATGTTGTCGATGGAATTTAAATGTATTGTTAGTTGCTCTTATTTTGTCGTGTTAATCAAGATATAATCGATATGGCAGACATTATTTAAAGGTAGATAAAATATATATGGAATTGTTTTATGAATAAAAGTTACTGTTGTTAATTGATAATGCATCTTTGTCAAGTTGAAAGCCACAGCACAATTATTGCCCATCAGAATTTAAACAGTTTGTTGGAGGATATATACCTGTATTTTGAATAGAATCATTTTAATGTAATTCCCAGCTACAAGTCTTCAAAAGATATACGTTAAAGATTCTTTTGCCCAAACTTTAACTATACACGAGGACACAGCGTCCACTGGTAGATATGATATTGATTGTCTTTCTTTGTCTAGCCTAGCAGGGAAAATTGTTTTAAATATTATTTAGATCATACTTTCGCAATGTTTATTTGTGCAATACTTCTTCCTAAAATTTAGAAATATTAGCCAGTTCTTTTTAATGTTTCTTTATCCTGAGTCTTGATATGACAAACAATATTTTAAAGTTGACTTCCTTAATGAATATATGTAACGGACCTGAGCTGCTTGGATCTCACGCACAAGTACTTTAGATGCCTACACGGGAATAACCCATGTAGTACTCTGATGATTAACGAGAATAACCCGCAAATAAAGATCTCCTATAATATCACAAGAATAACCTGTGTTTGGACTCGTATATAACTACGGGGAAGTTAAATGATAAGCCTTATTTAAAGTTTACAAATTTATTCAATAAATAAAAGTCACAATATGTATTAATTAATATTCAATTACAATAAAATTCAATGGAAGTCGGGAATCACCCAAATTCACAATGAATTACTACACTAACACAACCTTCGTATTACGTTAATACGATAAAAAGGGGGGGGGGGCGCACTAAACGAGAATGACCCGAATAGTGAGTAATAAATACTATAGAAATACCTTAGAATAACCAAAGTATTTCTGAAAGAATCTACACAATCTATAAAAGCTATTTAAAGCAAGAAATTTATCTCTATAATTTCTATATCAAATCCTAGCCTTAATTCCTGCTTGAATATTCCAATAAACGCAACTAGATTATCACTTTAAATTGATTGAATTCCTAAAATCTATCAAAGATAAACAATTATTTACACGGAAAGACCTCAAGACTTACTTTCAGTCAAACCGTAACAAAATTATTTAATCGTTTAATATCGAGATTAACCCAATATAAACGTCCTACGATAAATACTAGTAATTAATAGTGAAACGAGATTAACCCGTATTCACTATAAGAAAAATTGATGAATTAATTCAAAAATTACTAAATTCCTAATGAAAAATGCTAAGAATCAAATAAACAACCGCTAACCTCAAAATCTAAATGCCGAGTCCCACCGGCAATTCTTTACTCTCGTTTTATAGCTCTGGAGAGTCCCCCCGGAGACCCACGCGCTTCCCTAGGGACGACCGGCAGTCACCGGCAGCCACCGGCAATAATCATTGTCAAATAATGTTTAATAATAACAATAGATAATCCACATAAAAATATGACAATCATAATGTAAAACATTTATACAATATGACAATATTCCCTAAGTGTTAGATTTCGATAAAAATGCTTAGTACAGAGAAATTACAATTAGAATCGGGCGTGATATTCCACAAAATAATTAACATGATGGCGGTATCTATAAATAAAGTTACAGAGTTAGAAACGATATTTACAACAAATCTAGCGTATTACAATACTGATATTAATCCAGGATAATAAAATTAGAATCATAAGATCATGTTCTTCTAGAAACGTAAGTACAGTGAATCAAAATAAGAAATTTAACCATTTATGCGATCTACACATGGGGAAAAGTACAATGTACAAACATATTAACACGAATCCTATATAAAACAATCGGCATCATTGTCACAATCGTGACATTTTCCCCCTCTTAAAAACTTTGGTGTCCTCACCAAATTCTTAAGATATAAAACAACAATATTTTTCTATATACATTCAATACATTTCTCCATCAATAATAAATTAACATTAAAAAATGTACACTAGACAAAGTCATATACTTTCCTCAGTTTCCCAATCCTAACATACTTCAATTGTTAGAAATTTTTCTTTTAATATACAACAACAAAAGCAAAATTACAAAATGCATAAGTATACCTAAACTCTGACCATACTTACACCACATTCTAACTAATTTTCTTCACTGTAGCTTTCAAAGTACGTTGGTCTGCTAGCCATTGTCAAAAGTCCTGTACACGAATCTTCCAGCACCATCTTGAATTCGACTCGCCTTTGTGAAAGGTATATTACAGCCATTCATAGAAATGAAACTGTCATTCAAATTGATAACTGCAGGCCCAAATTGACTGTCCAACAAGATGTCCATACCTAAGAGGCATTCATCTTCTATTCCCGCAACAGTTATCTCCCTTTGAAATTCTAGATTTCCTAACTGCACTGCAAATTCAGCCTTCCCTAAGACTTTAAGTGGATCTCCATTGACCGCTACAAGGCTTGAAGATTCCTTTAGCTCTGGTCTTCTGTTCCCGGGGAGTCTCCAAAATATTTTGTCGGATAAGATAGTTCTTGCAGCCCCTGTGTCTGCTGTGAACTCCACTCTTATCCCTTGAATCGTTCCCTGAACGTAAATTCCATCTGCCTTGAGGAGCTGTCTCCTAATGTACTCCCTCTGAGTACACAGTTCCTCTTCCCTTGAAACGTCCCTGACGCAAGGCTGGAATTTCCCCTGGTTTTCAATTTTCTCCCCCGACTCATCTAAATTTCCACTTAAAATAGGTTCAGTTAAAATTTTACAGTCATTTTGGCCTTTGTTATTTTGGGTCGTCTCTTGGCCATCGGAGCTGACCCTATCTAGTTTAAAAGCTTCTCCTTTTTGTCTCTGCAATCATTATCTGAGTACACATTCCATTCTGATTGATGACTTGGTTGAAATTCTGGTGCATCAGGTGACATTGTACTTGTAGTTTGGCTTTGGTTTGTCTTTTGCTGATTATCTTCACTTGGTAAAGGTGACATAGTTTCCTCTTGATGTTTCTTGTACTGTGATCTCTGTGTCCTGTGAAAATTCCTATGCGGACACTCTCGGGCATAATGTCCGGGCATGTTGCAGTTGAAGCAGTTTCCCTTTGTCATCTCCATGGAGTTAGTATTTCCTTTCCCAGGAAAGCGATTGTCTCCCTTCCCGTATGGCTTTGCCTGTCTTATAGGGCGACTCTCCTCATTTGCGGTTGAATTGGAGGTGACTGACACATAGGCAGCTACCTGCTGTACTGCCTCTTCGATTGTTGACGGTTCTTTGTGCAATTCAACATACTGTCTTGCCTTAGGATCCCATAATCCTTGCAGGAACTTGGAAATTAAGTCTTCCTGTCTCGTGCCGGCATCTCTACTCGGATGAGCCCAGTCATAAAGTCGCTTAATGTCCGCAGCGTACTCTTCGAGACTTTCACTTTTTCCCTGCCGTTTATTGTTGAACTGGGTTTTATAGACTCTCTTATTCTCTAGAGTTCCGAATCTGGATTCTATTTCTGCAACCAATGTCTCATAGTTCCCAATAGCCTCCTTCTTCAGCTGACCAAAAACAAAATCAGCTGCAATTCCCTGTATTCTTGGTAATATCTGTTGTAACTTCTCTTTATCAGTCCACTTGGCTAACTCGGCTACGGACTCAAACCGATTCAGCCAAACTCTCCATTTCTCTGAACCTGTGTAAGGCGGAAGCTTACAGTCAAGCTTGTGGCTATCTGATTTCTTCGACTCGAACAAATCCTTTGTGGCAATTGAGTTGACAGATTGCTCATTTTCAGACTGTTCTGAATCTTCATTTGATTCCTCGTGATTGCTTTCCTTATTCTCTGTCTCCGACTTGTTGTTGTTTGAGTCGATTCTCGATATTCTAGGCTTCAGCTTGCTGTTTGTAGTATGTCCTTTGTTCACTAGCCTGAGAGTTTCGGTAGTTACTTCCATCATATTCTGCATGGCTTTCATTGTCTGGGACATCTGCTCCATCATTAGCGTCATAGAATCTGTGACAGAATTATTCCGTGTTGACTGTGTCAGAGGTTCTGACAGTTCTGTGTCTGTAGGGATTATCTCCCTTCTTTGATGTAGAGTCCTTGTGGATCGTCTTATTTTGCGTGTAGGCGTTGATATTCTAGCCTGAGTATCTGAGTCATTTTCTTCTTGTGTAGAGTTGTCATTGCTGGACTTGCTCTGTTCCCCTCGGAGTGATCTGTTTAACTCGGACGGCGATAAATCTATGAGGAGTTCCTCATCTGTGGGTTGTCCTCTGGAATGTCTGGGATTAATGGATGGCTCCATCCTAGTCTTGGATCTGGTATAGTACCTATGCATGGATTTTTCTCAACACTGGTTCTGGGTTACGTATCTCTGGATCCACCTATGTACTTGGTAGATCCCACCGCTGCCACCAAATGTAACGGACCTGAGCTGCTTGGATCTCACGCACAAGTACTTTAGATGCCTACACGGGAATAACCCATGTAGTACTCTGATGATTAACGAGAATAACCCGCAAATAAAGATCTCCTATAATATCACAAGAATAACCTGTGTTTGGACTCGTATATAACTACGGGGAAGTTAAATGATAAGCCTTATTTAAAGTTTACAAATTTATTCAATAAATAAAAGTCACAATATGTATTAATTAATATTCAATTACAATAAAATTCAATGGAAGTCGGGAATCACCCAAATTCACAATGAATTACTACACTAACACAACCTTCGTATTACGTTAATACGATAAAAAGGGGGGGGGGGCGCACTAAACGAGAATGACCCGAATAGTGAGTAATAAATACTATAGAAATACCTTAGAATAACCAAAGTATTTCTGAAAGAATCTACACAATCTATAAAAGCTATTTAAAGCAAGAAATTTATCTCTATAATTTCTATATCAAATCCTAGCCTTAATTCCTGCTTGAATATTCCAATAAACGCAACTAGATTATCACTTTAAATTGATTGAATTCCTAAAATCTATCAAAGATAAACAATTATTTACACGGAAAGACCTCAAGACTTACTTTCAGTCAAACCGTAACAAAATTATTTAATCGTTTAATATCGAGATTAACCCAATATAAACGTCCTACGATAAATACTAGTAATTAATAGTGAAACGAGATTAACCCGTATTCACTATAAGAAAAATTGATGAATTAATTCAAAAATTACTAAATTCCTAATGAAAAATGCTAAGAATCAAATAAACAACCGCTAACCTCAAAATCTAAATGCCGAGTCCCACCGGCAATTCTTTACTCTCGTTTTATAGCTCTGGAGAGTCCCCCGGAGACCCACGCGCTTCCCTAGGGACGACCGGCAGTCACCGGCAGCCACCGGCAATAATCATTGTCAAATAATGTTTAATAATAACAATAGATAATCCACATAAAAATATGACAATCATAATGTAAAACATTTATACAATATGACAATATTCCCTAAGTGTTAGATTTCGATAAAAATGCTTAGTACAGAGAAATTACAATTAGAATCGGGCGTGATATTCCACAAAATAATTAACATGATGGCGGTATCTATAAATGGTTACAGAGTTAGAAACGATATTTACAACAAATCTAGCGTATTACAATACTGATATTAATCCAGGATAATAAAATTAGAATCATAAGATCATGTTCTTCTAGAAACGTAAGTACAGTGAATCAAAATAAGAAATTTAACCATTTATGCGATCTACACATGGGGAAAAGTACAATGTACAAACATATTAACACGAATCCTATATAAAACAATCGGCATCATTGTCACAATCGTGACATTTACAATGTTTACTGCGTTTAAATTAAATTCTATAATTGTGTATTTTAGATACTAGATAAAATTTGTAGTAGTAATCGGGACAAGAAATACTGGTATTTATAATCACCATTGACCTAAATCGATTTAATTCTATCTAATTACCAATGATAATTCCCACCATCGGTATTTCCCGGTCAACCATGGATACCACTAAGGGAAAATATTTTGCTTTAAATTCAGTATCTTGAGCTTGCAAATCCAGAATTCAGTATAAAACATAAATTAACAGAACATGAAGCATTTCATTCTGAAAATTTGATGGTGTCACTTACTATTTTGAGACTAGAGTACTTCAGTGTTTTATAAATATGTCGAATATGAGCAATAATATTTTGATCTTCCTCCGAAGATAAAAGAGAATGTTCAAGAAGTACAAAGCTTCATGAAGAAAAAGAATATGAACTTGTCCTACACGATGAACAATTTAGATACTCTTCACATAACACTTGGGTTATATCGACCGGAGAATGACGAGATCTCAGAGTAAGAAAAATAACTGATTTTAATCTCTCTCTCTGTGTGTGTGTGTGTGTGTGTGTGTGTGTGGTGTGTGTGTGTCTGTCTGTGAGTCAGGGTGTGTGATGGTGTATTTGCATGTGTAAATTAAACTTTCCTCATTATATAGAGCAAAAAAAGCTTTGGAAGAATTTCAGGGCAGCTTGAATACTTTTTCGCCACTTACTTTCACCGTTTCAACAATAGAAAGCTTCCAGGACCAAGAGGATCCAGATGACCACGACGTTGTTTATGCTGCAGTGACAGACAATCAAATATTGAAAGACCTCGTAGGTAAGAATTTAAAGCTGTAATACATGTCAGTATATATAGTTGTTTGTAGTTTGTATATCACATAAAATTGTTAGCGTTCATAACTTTTTAGGAGCTTTAAGAAAATCTTTCCAGAAGCGAGATTTATTCGTCACAGACAAAGGATTTGTATCTCACGTAACTATCTGCAGGATCACGGCCAGAAGTAGGGAAAGAGGTAAATTTTAACTCTTCATTTTGTTCCGTCAGCAATGTTGACATATACATCTAAAAAAAAAAGTCAGGAATATTTATATATACTGGTACATTAAAAAAAGTGATACTTTTTTTAATGATTGTAAATGTTGAAGTGATGAGGGGGAAAAAGTTAAAGATCAATAAAATTGTTATTCCAGGGATAACTCGAATTGATCCATCATACTATCGAGAGAAGGCGTCGACTGATTTTGGAAAACAACATGCCAAAAGTATCCAGCTTTGTTCAATGGGAAAACAAAAGTCTGGATACTATCATGTAGAAAAGGAAATATATTTCTAGATGGTTGGACACACAGACGCTTATCCATTTCTAATGTGAATTTTGTATTTACTATCATCTGGTAGATCAAAAATTTACATGAAAGATTTACAAATTGTGTGATTTATAACGTAACTTCTAGTAAGCAGAACAATAGATATGTCATATAGTTTCTCATCATTCTGCAAAAAATAACATGTATACTTATAATTTGACTCTATTTTATTTGTGAAGGATCTTATTAATTTTTCTTTTTACAACGAAAAAAATAAGGAAGGGTTTTATAATTCCCTTGAGTCTTTAAAACATCTGTTTTAAAGTGAAAGTTTTGTTAAAGGAGTATGAGATACCCTTACAACAGAAAACAGCTTTATATCTGCATAATGTAAAACCTGGATTGTCTTATGACAAAATTAAGTTAATGATGTGCATTTAGCTTTTAGATGTGCTTTTATTATTGTGTGATGTGCTTTCTTCATAATGTGATGTGCTTTTATCATCATATATTTCCATTTCTTATTTTTGTCTCTGTGATAACTCTTTGAAACTTAGCGGAGTTAATTTCTATAAACCTGCCGGAATGTAAATTAAGCAGGTCGAAAGGTCAGGAGCTAGGGAGGCCTAATATGATGCAAATCTCGTGCGCATCTGTCTCTGTGTCTGACGCTAAGGATGCCAGATATGCATGAAAATCTCGTGCGGCTGCCTTTGTGTTTGACGTCAGTGGGAGAGGGCTATGGAAATTGGCAAGGGAGTCCTCGTGTTATTTAAATCTATGTCTACATTTTAAAAATATAAATCAACAAATTTATTTCCAGTTGAAACGGAAATATAAGGAATCACTGTCTCGTTCGTATAGTACGCCTGGGCATCAACGATAGTGGGAAACATGGGATAATTTGCATAACGGGCGAAGCTAGACAGTGATTCCTTAACTGTAATTGTTTTATCTTTATGTTATGCACTTTTTTAATTATGAATTATGATTTGTGATTTGGTTATTATATGGTGGTTGATTTTCAAAATGTACATTGCTGATGTCTTTCTTTATATAACAATGATAATGAAATTGAGATTCAATTTCCAATGACATGGTTCACATGATCCCATTTTCTTGGATATGGAAAGCAAACTACACGAGTCATTTGAGATTGTGACGTCACACAATGTCATGGATACGTTATATTGCATTTCCATAACAAAGTCTAAATGACTTTGCCTTTTCATTAGTGCCTTATGATATTTTCTTGTCACACTTCTTTCACCAGTGATCTTACTGGACAGAGCTTCTATACCAAAACTTGGGAAAATCTGAACTGCAAATATTCTAATGTTGTCTATGGAATAGAATGTAATCTGTATGGACTTGTTTATGTCGGTGAATCCAAGGGATTGCTTAACAAAAGAATATCAGGTCATCGATTTCAAATAAATCATGGTAATCAGCAGCTTTTATACAAACATTTTAATTCACCTGATCATTCTATTTTATACATGAAAGTTAGAATTCTCGAAAAGATTTATCTCCACACAAATAGTTCGTCGCTGAGTACACCTTTCCGTAGACAACGAGAAGAATTTTGGACTAGAAAACAAGGGACAGCCTTTCCCTATGGATGTAATGACAATGTCGATAGTGTTGAAAATCTTTCCAGTCCGCAGTGTAATAATGTAAATGTGATGGGACTTTTTAACCATACTCATAGACGTAAGCGTAGTCATGGGCATCGTTCGTTCAATAAACCTGCAATACACGACGCCTCTTTTGATTCATAACTACCTTATGTAAATTAACAGTTAGGTCTACATCATATTCGAACAAAACTTTACTCTGTTCCTTTGAAACTTTTAAATAGTCTTCTTGAAAAGGCCAAGGAACATCCAATTTTTCCTCGTCACCAGAATATAAACTCGGATCTGTGATTATGGATATTGCATATCATAGGCTTTTTAAACCCGCACGCTTCACGGAAGAAAATGCAGCTAAAACAATCCGTCTTTTCCTTAAACTTCAATATGTCAATAAAGGAATTGACGCGGTTAATATAAGTAATATTTTTAATAACAAAGGGTTCAGTCTTGTATTCCACCATATTTCAAGTTAAAGACTACACCTTGTATTTCCTACAAATATACATCGACCATTGCTTCCAAACTTTTCAATTACAAAAACACTTTACATGGCCTGGATACCGACTATCTGAAACATAATCCTCCTTCGTGTTCATGTTCTTCTTCGCCCTATAACTATAGTCCTGCTGGACACGTTATTACAGGTGACGTAAATATAGTTCGTAATGAGTACCTTAGATCACCTATTTTAAAAGGTCCTAAATATAGGGAACCCGATCCTTCAACTGGCGTCGGAATTTCTTAAATATTATGGATTCTGTGGAAAATTACGCCAGACGATGGGCAAGATATGAAAAAAAGACATTGACACCTTGTCAGAATGGATTAAATGTATCAAATCCATGTTTAAGTCCCGTATTAAAAGATTGAGGGGCAATATGAAAACCATATATCCTTTTGTGTTCAATAAACCAGAAGTGAAAAAGGAGTTAGATAGATTACACGATCAGTACGTAATGGTTCCTGCCGACAAAGCAGGTAACAACATTGTCTTTGTTTGTAAGGCTCATTATATAAATTGCATTCTAGAAGAACTTGGATTTAATTCTACAAGTGGTAATCCTACTTATACTCATACTTTCCTCTCTAAGGAAAAAAATTTTCAAAATCACCTGTCAGTTTTGAATAGTTTTAATATTCCACTGAGCCAAAATGAATTTGAACTACCTTATATATATATATTGAATTCCAAAACTTCATAAGAATCCTTACAAACAAAGATACACTGCAGGTTCCAGTAAATGTTCAACCAAGCCTCTTTCGTTACATCTCACTAAGATATTGACAGTAGTGAAGTAAAAACTTCAAGAGTACTGTGGAACTATATATTCAAGAAGTGGTGTGAATCAGATGTGGATACTAAGAAATTCTAAAAAAAACCTTTGGACACTTTGAAATCACAAGACTTTACAAAAATCAACAGCTTAAAAACTTACGACTTTTCAACTTTAAACACAACAATTCCCCACGACAAATTAAAATCCAGGTTTTTTGATATCATTGACAGCTGCTTCTTCAATTAAAACAAATTGGTTCCTATTTCAACGAACAGATGGTTAAGTCTACTTTCTGAAAGGGTCTGCATTATCATTAGATATATAAAAAAGCAAGAGAATGGCAACAATCAAGTTATTCTCTTGTTAGTAATTATCCTACAGTAACCGTTGAATAAGCTCGCTTGCTCTCTCTGATAAAGCAAAGGATAGTCAAAGAGTAACAATAGTATGAGACTATTTAAAATACCAAATAGCAACTTCCAAGAAAAGAAATACCTCTTTCTTTCCAGGCTTTTTGATATCATTGGCAGCTGCTTCTTCAATAAAAATGGAACTCGTAAATTTACTTACCCCGTCATTGGCCATTTGCAAAATTATTTTGTTAAAACAGATTCTGATTGCACACATAAGTACTCTGAAGTTGACATCAAGGAGATGCTTGAGTTTCTTATTGACAACATCTATGTGGTTTTTGGAGACCAGGTATTCCAACAGTCTATTGGAATCCCCATGGGTAATAATTGCGCCCCGTTATTAGCAGACTTATTTTTATATTCATATGAAGCAGAATATATGCAAAATCTTATGTGTGAAAAGAAGAAAACACTTGCTGTGGCCTTCAACTCGACATTTAGATATACTGACGACGTATTGTCAATTAATAATGGTGATTTCCATTCCTACGTCGAAACGATATATCCTGGTGAGCTTGAGATAAAAGATACTACAGAGTCCGACACTTCTGTTTCATACTTGGATATTTTACTTGAAAAAGACACTAATGGTAATCTAACAACCAAGCTATATGATAAACTTGATGACTTTAACTTTTCTATCATCAGCTTCCCTTACTTATGCAGCAATATACCTTCATCACCTGCAAACGGAGTATATATATCTCAGTTGATTCGATACGCAAGAGCATGCTCTACGTATGAACAATTTCTAAAATGAGATAAATTATTAACAAGCAAGTTGACAAAACAAGAATATCAGCAGTCTCGTTTAAAGTAATCATTTCGTAGGTTCTATGGTCGATACAACGACCTTGTCAGCAAATACAGTTTATCATTGAGTCAAATGCTGACTGACGTTTTTCATATCAATTGTTAGTCCATTATTTATACACTGAATTGACGACGGATTTTTTCCTGATCATGACAAGGAGCACACGGCGGGTGTGACCGGTCAGGGGATGCTCACTCCTCCATGGCACCTGATCCAACCTCAGATGTTTCGGGGGTCCTTGTTTGCTCTGCTCTTATTTTGTATTATTTATGGACTTTGAGATTTTATACTGTTCGTTATCTTAATATCCTTTCTTCATAAAATGTATTAATTAATTATTTGTTACCAACATAATTATATATACTTCCCATTGCATTATAAGTAAAACATTTGTTTATGCTTTCTCTTTGAAAAGAAGGTAGAACTAAAATATCATTTATTGTATATATTTGAATTAGTTGTATTTTTTTTTTTTACCATTGATGACTGGTTGTTATATTTTCACCTTCTTCATGATAAAGGATGCTGAAATGAAATATATGGAGATGACGAAAAGTATTCAAGCTCAAAAGTTCATTAGACAATACACAATAGGAATAGAACAAACACGAACCTCCAAAACATCAGAAGTGGGAACAGTTCCGATGGAGGAGTGAGTATCCCCTGCCGACCGGTCACATCCGCCGTGTGCTCCTTGTCATGCATCGGAAAAGCACATAAAAATCCGTCGTCAATTCAGTGTATAAATAATGACCAAACAATTAGTATGAAAGCCGGCAGTCAGAATTTGATTTAATGATAACTTTTAATAAATTGTGTTTGCTGATAAGGTCTCTGTATCGACCATAGAACTTACAAAATGATGACCTTAAACTAGACTAATTAAAGTCTTGTCGCAACAAACTTGTTTGTGAAAAAATTACCTCGTTTTAGATATTTTTTATACATAGAGCATGCTCTTGCGTATCAAATCAACCGTAACTGAGAGTTATAAAGTCCGTAGGCAGGTGATGAAGGTATATTGTTGCATAAGTAAGGGAAGTGAACATTGAAAAGTCGGTCATCACGTTTATCATAAAGCTTGGTTGATAGATTAACATTAATGTCTTTTTCAAGATAGATATCTGAGTATGAAACAGATTTGTCAGACTCTGTGGCATCTGTTAATAAGCTTACTGGCATATATATCGTATCGACATAAGAATGGGAACAAATACATGTATTGACTCCTCGTCGATATATCTAAATGTCGAGTTGAAGGTCCCAGCAAGTGTTTTCTTTTTTCACGTATAAGGGTTTGGACAATTTCTGCTTCATAAGAATATAAAAATAAGTCTGCTAATAATGGGGCGTAATTGCTATCCATGGTCATTCCAACAGGTTGTGAAAGGCGTCCTTATGATGAAGTCTTCCTAAAAACGATATGTTTAAGATGGTTTTTGTAAGTAGCTTTTTGATAATAATTATATTTTACAGTTGGTAGTACATGTATTAAGTTTCCTTAGGCTTGTAAATATATAAGTTATACATATATATCTCCTTTTATCAGCACCTAAAAGTAATTAAAATATACATGTAAAATTTCGATCGTGCAAATCGCGAGTGACCTATTATAAAATTCACGATTCCTAGCGCATATAGATATACTTAGGTACTTATGATACCATCTTTTAAGTATATAGTCTTCTTGCTATCCATTATCTTTAGTTCGATTAATACATGTAGTTTCTTTCCTGGTGTTTTCAAACGCTTGTTGGAAAGGAAGTTATTGAAGATAACATTCCAGCGAAGATCAGTAATCAAGCTTAAAAGTGTAGCATATGGCAATGATATGGTGTATATTGATAAGATTTTCAATTTTATTTATTCATGCAGAATTATTCAACAGTATGC